CTCCTCCACATGGAACTGGCTGCCTTCATCGGCCTGGAGTTCTCAGTGCTTCCACCTGCCTCTGAGATCACTCCGCATTACACGCACATCCAAAAGTCGGTGGGACTGGTCACGTCATCACGCCACCTGTCTGCAGACAGCGGTGGCAGAGTAGTCCACATTCCATGTGATTATACCGTTTTTATTAGTTTCTTTTGTACATGTTTCCGCGTGTAAAACAGTCAAACACCTTTTGCTATCACTCATAGTGAATCGTGTTTAATCACGTCCAATAACCCGGTCGTCGCAGCTTCCAACACACGTCCCCTTTTCACAGCGTGCCCGTCAGTCACGTGAGGCTACTGGTTCATTAACCCCTCTGCATGTAGCACCACCACCCCTTTTAGTAATGTGACCTCACAGACGCCTGTGCTTATTTTACATGTCCACTCAACTATATAAGTACGCGACACAACTTTGTTGAGCTAGTTAGTAAAGCGGTCGTGCCTGCCTCTCTAGACTTACTTTCTCCCTTGATTACTTCGTGTGGTAAAGGTCCCCAACACAGTTATGCGCGTCATTTCACAGCACCGCATAAAATTTCCAACATACATTTTTTGGTTTATTCACAGTTAAAGGAAACAGTTTGATGGATCAAACTTGGAAGAAGTTCCTTTTATTAAAAGCAGTAGGTGCTGCCTAAGTGCTTGCAGAAGTAACCGAAAAACTAACTGAGGACTTTGATTTTCCAAATTTGGCGAACCACAAAGTTCCAGTGCACGTTTTCTTTCAAGTCATTTAAAAGAGCACGTTTCAATAATAGGTTGAACTTTACTGTATCTTACCCTGTCTAGATTGTGATCCATGTGTTCTTCGCCTTCCCTTATATCGCCCTTATTCGAACCACTAAGTAACTAGCTATACCATTTATGTTAAAAGTGAAGGCGGCTAAGTGAACAAGTGTGTTAGTTTTTTGTTCCATTTTACCAACAGCAGGAAAATTTGCAGTTTTGTTTTACAAATGAAACTAACGTTTAATAGAAGCACTCAAAATCCCTAGGGATTTATTCCCAGTGAATCTAATAACATGAAATTTAAAGTTACAAAGTAATTAGTAGTTGCTTTTCTTGAGAAAAGTCTCGTCAAATGTCTTCAGGCACAAGCTGTGGTAAATTATGATGGCATGCAAAAGTCGAGTGTGCTTGGCGGCTTATTTCCATAATGTCTAATCCGATAAACGATGAAGCGGATTACGGGCAACAGGCGTTTGATAAAAAAAAAACTCCTCCTGCGTCTCCATAAACACCGAAATTTATTAGCACAGCTGAACCATTCACATTAGCTCCATTGTCTTGCCGTGTGAGACAAAAACGATCCCTATACTCACTTTGCTATTTAAATTGATTCACAATCACTTTATGTATCATCAGTACAAAAACCTAAATTTGTCGATCTAACAAAGGCATTAGGCCAATGTATCACATTGGAATTTTTCAATGATGATTTGTTAAATAATGAACCGAAGGTTGCCTGTCATTGGCTACGCAATTTGTGATACCCCTGTGTGGAGAAACGTTGGCGTCGAATTTGAAAGTTCGTGCGTTTTCACTCGAATACAGCCGACATAAATGATCTGATTTTCACCCGACAGTACTCTAGGGACCTGAAAGGGTTTGGGGAAAGTGCAGGAGAAGATAACGGCTTGCAGTCTAGGCTAATTAATGTCTTTGGTGGTTCCTACGAGCCTGACAAAAAAACTCAACAAAATGTCGACTACAGCCACGTCCATTCCCCGAATCTCTGCACCAAATTTCGACTACAGCCACGTCCTTTCCCCGAATCTCTGCTCCAAATTTCCCAGTCGAATTTACTGAAATCAAGTGAAACGTCTTCAGGACAAATCGTATTTTGGTGTTGATGAAACAGGCGGTTCAGCTAAAGACATGTGCCCCACTACCACAGTATTTCGTTTTCAATAACGATTAAACGAAAACGTCTTCTTACGAGAAATACATCAAAAATGCGTGCTTAACTCTCCTTCTGATTTTTTGTTTCACGAAGCACCCATTTGTAGAGCATCGAACTAATTCCATGGTATTTCCAGCAATTTAGAGCGGTTGTTTAAAAAATTCCGCGTTCAAAGTACTACCCGCAAGGGTGGTTTACGCGATCAGCTTGCGAATAACGCTCGCATACCATGCCCACCTGAACAAAAGCTGGCCGCTGACAAAGCGTTACCCGAACGAAATTTTGCGAACCGATTTTGACACATGCGTTTGTAATTGCCGCCTCTGCAAAGCCATCATGAATTCTTGCATACCATTTTTAAAGTTGTTCACCTTTTTAAATTCCGTTTGACGTGCAATGCTGGAATACCTCTTTCGTTGAACCCTAAAGTATTCACGTAATGAGTTATGAAATAAATTCCTCTCCAGGCCGTAGCTGTGCCATGGCTTCAGTGGAGCGCGTTTAAGGTGAAGTCTCTAGCACTTGCACAAGTAATGCGTTTTTACCAGGAATGACCGTTGCAACGAAGCGAAGGCAGGCATCAGAGATGGGCGTGCATCATGTCAGTGTTTGCAGGAAATGCCAGGACACAAAAGTAAGACAACAGTCCGTAAACGGGCCTGACTAGCCACATCCTCAAAGCATGCCAACAACTAGTGATGAATAGGGGAACGACCCAATACACCAGATTACCCACTTACTAACAGTTATATTGTATTGGCTGCAAATTAACTCCGAACTTTAACGAAACAAATGTATAAGATGAAATTTGAGTCCCCAAAGATTAATCAGATTTTATCTAATTTTTAACTTAATCAGCTTGGCAATTAAATATTTGCCACAAAATTAAACCAAACCCAATTGAAAACAAAAAAAGCCTTAAGTATTCAGGGCAGAGACAAATTACGAGCCAAAAGGTTGGTAAAAATTTTTTATGCATAAATCTGCAAAAGGAATCAATTTGAGTGCCAAAAAGATATCACAGGAATTGTGGTGCAATTTAAAGGAAGTGGTGCAGTCGCATGGAATGTGGACTACTCTACCACCGCTGTCGAGGACATTCGATGGAAGCGGTTCTCTCTCATCTGCTCCGAACATCCGCTGTCTGCAGACAGGTGGCGTGATGACGTGACCAGACCCACCGACTTTTGGATGTGCGTATAATGCGGAGTGATCTCAGAGGCAGGTGGAAGCACTGAGAACTCCAGGCCGATGAAGGCAGCCAGTTCCATGTGGAGGAGACCACGACGCGACACGCGGAATTCGCTCTCGAGCTCCTAAACAGGCAAAACACAATCCACTCCAGACCACCTCACCACGCACGTCAGTCAGTGGTTCAAGCAGATAAGAGTTCAAGCAGGTACACCGAACTTACAGTTCTCCACAGCCAGTAATGCCGGCTGCAATAAGCAGGTTAGTTGAATAACGACGCACACACTTTATCGCTAGTCCATCAATGCAAATTACAGACCTGAAGCATCCTCTACCCGACCAGCTACTCCCACCTCGTCTTCCACCTCCTTGCGCTTCTTCGGTCAACTTCAAAGCATTCGCGTGTGGACTTTGTGCCAGGTTGTTAAATGCCGGTAGGAAAATACGCTGTCGGTATGGCTTACTGTTAGCGCGTCTCACGAAAGTGTATTTTCGACTGCCGATCGATATTTTGGAGGAGTCGTTTGACGATGTAAGTCTTCCATAGGCAAGTAGGCCGTCAGTGGAGCCAGACTGCAGCAACTGGCTTTAATGCCAAGAAGTAAAGCGGAACAATCCAGACACGAAACTACCACACATACTCTCGCCTCTCCAACTAGCGCATGCACCTCTACTTTGCACCTTGGTGTTTCGACAAGTAGCCCAGATAATTCCGATCTTGGTGATTCCAATTCGTACACAACGGCTGCATTCGATGCGAACCTTTTGAGTGAAGTTGCCAACGTTGAGGCAAAACAACTGGTCAAGGGATTCTGTCGCATTAAACGCCGTGTAATGCGCTTCAACGCTAGCATCTGTCTCCAAAGTGATGGATACAAAAAAGGCATCAGTAGTGCCGTCAGGGATGTCTTCGTAACCACTCGTGTTTGAAATGACTAGTTTTCTACAATTCTACAGTGTGGCGTGTCTACTAGTTAAACCTGACTTTACTCAGTCCAGTTCGGTGAGAATTGATAAGGATGCGTAGAATGCTAATAGGCTAGGCGAGAATTGGCACCGGGGTCGACGTGTGTGATTCAATTTCTGGCGTTCAGTGGATGCCCTGAATGGACCAATGTGCAAGCCAAGGGTATTTTGGACCACCAAATGACCATCCTCGACATGGGACTATGCGACACTGAATGACCCATTCTTTACAGTAGCTGGAGCAGCAGCTTTGCGTGGAGTCTGATCGCAAATGCGATTCGTTTCGTTTACATCTGGGGAAACTCCAGTCTCTACTTGGAATATTTCTGCTTTCAATACATTTAACTCATCTATTTATCAAGGTTTACTCTCTAAGATTTTGATATTCAAGTTTTTCTGGGTTCTAAATTTTTTCCTAAATCCAAATCCTTTTGACTAATCCAATATCAGCCAATCACCGACATAACATCGGGGCCTTTAATAGCATTAATTTATTTGTACCATTTTGTGCTTTCTCCGCATTCCATGGAAACACCTATAAATTAAATTTTATGAATGTTGATGCCCATAATTTACAATGTACTCCAGGTATCCCACCTCAGTCACTTATTTGCGCACGTGCCGACGTTTGCCCAATCGATGCGAAGTCGTCAAATGGTTTCCCCACTCCTTAGGAATGGGACAGGTATCAACAAGCACGCTCTGTTATCCTCTGTGCATGACAATTCTACTGGGCGATTTTCGTAGAATCCGCAGAGCTGTGCGTGGCCGTCATATTTACGCGCCTAGTTAATATAAATATAGTGTTGCATTTTCGGTATATTTACCTCTCCCTAGGAAACTGTATTTTAGACCATCTACAGATCTTTACCTGATCTATGAATTTAGGTATTTGATTAGCATCAACTTCCCAGTCAATCATGAGGTAATGTGCGAAACCAAAAACCGATGGTGTTTCGTGCAAGGAAACCATTTTGTCGAGTTTATTCTAAATAAACACCTATCTACATCTAAGACCGTCTCATCACCCGGTAGCTAAACCTTGCCGATATAAATATTTTACCATTGTGGTTTCATTCATGTTCACGAGAACTTGAAAGTTATCATTATTTGTTGTTGTTACACTAATATAGCAAGTCACCCAAATATTCCCCTAAGTTTCACTAGAAGTAATTTGCGTGGCCAGGAAGAACTATTTTACGGAGAACAAAAGGCAACGACAGTTTAAGACATTTTTTAAATGCTTTTTCTAAGTTATATTGTGCATCACGCTAGTGGGCATGCTTACCGACCGTGTTTCCGAACACGCAAAAAATACGAGTGTGCTTAAGTATAGCCTGATCCGAAATTCAAGGAGGACCTGAAATGAAAATTCTTCCTTTACTAACTCAACTCTCCACAAAAATGTAAACTCCAAGTATGAAAAACATAAAATGACATTAGGTATGGTAAAAATCTTTAACTAATTCTTTAATAAAAAGGAATAGATCGAGACTGTTCGATTACCACAAGTGTGTATCCCTAATCCGTCGGCCTCTTGTTACGCTTAATGAGTTTTTTTCAGTAGAAGTGATTCATTTTAAGAAAACGCAAACTTTCTGCAGCTGGCAAATCACCGTTTTTTCCTTCTACCTGCCAAAGTCTGGTGGGATTAATGAAAATCATTGTTTTGCTAACCTGAGTAGTTAAGCACAGGCGTAGAGAGCAATGTTGGATTGGTCCTTTAAAAGGCGACAGATGGTTTAATTTAAAATGACCACTCTTAAGCATGCCTATTCACATTAATTTTCAGGCTATTTGGTAAAATTTTCATGAACATGATTCAGGATGTGAACAGATTGTCAACAGTCTGGACACATTAATTTTCAGGCTATTTGGTAAAATTTTCATGAACATGATTCAGGATGTGAACAGATTGTCATCAGTCTGGACACTGTGAAGGATTCTTTACAATCGTAGTGAATCAGGTGGATTCTCACCACTTGCTTTGCTTCTCGCATGATCGTTTTACATCTTTAATTGCCACTGAGCCATTTGGCCCCACATCTGTGTCCATCCTGATGAATTCCACGTGCCAACAATGCCTGCTAATCCTCAGTGTTGACACCCAATCACACAGGCCCCCTGCTGTTCACTCATACGACCTATTAATGCGCGTAAACAGCCCAATTCAGTGGCCTTATAAGGGGGATTAGCCCCCGGTCGACTTGGGTCTGTTCATGCTTGGTGTCGAATCAAGCGTCAACGGTGCAGGTGTGAGGTCCACATTGGGTCCCTTCAACACCACTTACCTGTTTCGCTTTCCAAATATGGGCATTATCTTAAAAGTATTGAAGTTAATGGACGCAAATTCAATCATTACTGAACTAGGAAACTAGCACTGCTGCGGCAGTCGGTGACGCACCGTACCCAATGATTATCCACACCATATAACTCCATTAGTCTTCAATGGCACATATTGGCTTTGGGCATTTTCTCCTGAAAAATGAACGTTTTCTTAGAACGGATTTCAAAGTCCTTGAAGTTAGCCTCATCAACACAATTAGTGCCTCATTAAGATTTCTGGCCGATCTACAAATCAGCATATAAATTTTATCCTCTTGATAAATACGACTTCCTTCTGCCGAATCCTGCGTAAATCCAATATTTTTCATGAGTCTTTGTTTAGCAAACTCTTGAACTAGAGCAAATCCTATTGTTGGATGGCCCCTGCAGCTTTGAAGTGGTCATTGCTGTTTTCCGCTAAAATTTTCATGGAGAATGTTTCTGCTCCATTTTTGCTCGGTATGTTAATGCGAATCCCCGAGCTACTAGTTGAAATCCTTGTTTGACACGCAGAAGGCTTTCTGGAGTAAGAAAAGACTAGAGTTCATGCCGAAGGCTCTGCTGTAAAAAACCGAAGTTCCAGGTACAACATGGGCTCAAAACACCTCAGGAAGGGTCTAGGGCTTAAGCAGAGTTCCTGACTGTCTAAGCCATAGATCGTGGCACATGCTGGGGTCAAAGCGGAAGTCGAATGTTTGTTCAGATGCCCTCACTTCTGCATACCTGGGCTATCTGAGACCGATGGGTTAAGTAAATAACATTGAGTGATGCATTTTTGTGTGGCAGTAGAGTTGTAATCAGTTGGACAGATCTGAGTAAATAAACATAAGTAATCACAGTGTTAATTTAGTTGTTTTGTGGAATATTGGCATCCCCAACTTTTTTTCTCTTTTATTTCTTCGCTGTAAGGGAAAAAGTAAACTCAGGTTACGACCCATTAAAAAAGCATTCACACAAGCAAGTTGTAATGTTTTTAACCTGGTGTTAAGGGCGATAAAGATCAGTTGATATGTTGACGAATGCAAGTTTTGTACGACGTTTTATAGAACAACAGTATGATGGTGTCAAATCCAAATAAGGCAAAAGCCAAACGGTGATTAGCGTGAAGAGGGATATGAGAAACGCTCATGTGACTAACGGGGTACCAGAAACGACAACAATAATGATGAATTTAGAGAGCGAAACAGCAAATACAAACAATCAGTAGAAGTTATTTATTGATATTGCTCCTAATTATGTGCCAAGCGCTACAGTTAATTTGTCAGGATTCATGAAAATCTAGGTGACTGAGAAATAGGTTTATTGTAATCAATAAATTCTCAAGTGACTCCATTGAGCCTTTAACTGCCCCCTTCAATTAATCTTTTCGATAGTTTCATGTGGACTGTGGGTATGACCCTTTAATGTTGCATACTGTGGCTTTTATAGCTCTAGTTTCGAACTTAGATTAGTCAGACAAAATTACTGATTGATTATTATCAAATGCATACGCTCGAATCGGTTTGCCGTGGGTTCCCAATGTATCGCATAATTCCTCGAAGATGAACCTGACGCGAATAGCTTATCTTCCATAACACAGGTACTGGTGAAAATTTGAACTCTCGTACATGAAACAGGTAGTTAGAGGATCTATTTAATTTGTTGTGATATACAGGGGCAATTCTTTTTTTATAAATTCGGCTTCTGTGACAGGGTTTGGTGCAAGAAAGCATGACTACCGAAAAACACCAAATTTTCATGTTCTAACTTAGATGCAGCTTGTACGAGGTGCAAATTTGGCAAGTCTCCTGACTATTCCGAGGGCTTCAGCTATAAACTTTACTAGGAATCCGGCATCGTTTCCTAGTACATAACCCTGGCTGCCGTGGAGCACTTGATTTGCGACGTTTAGTCTTGTCCGACAGTCACCTATCAATGCAGACAAACCTCGGACTCATTAGACGCATCTCTGGCTAATATTTAACTTAGGCTTTTTGTCACAACCAACTCTTATGATGGGTTGGCGCAGTCTCGGTTTGATTCCCAACGGTAACATTAACGCATATCACAATAATGCTTTTTGACAGAACACTTCTTCCGAGGGTTTTCTCATTTTGTTTGCCAAGAAACGGGATTTGACGCTGCAGCAAAATGGTTCGGAATAAATTTCAGTTCATGCTGTCAGTGTGTGACGGATTGTCAAACAGCCTCTTGTGACTAAGGCTAAAAAACAACTTATTTACCTTCCCAGGCTTCCTACTACACTAAAATATTCTTTACGAACTGCCAGGATTCTTTTAGGATAGACAAAAACTCACAATGCAAAATTTTAAAAAGAGTTCCTAAATGTTGCTTTTTGGACTGCAAATTTTGCAAAATATGCGTTTAATAATAAAAGTGTTGTTATCATGAATAATACATTTCGAACGATAAAACGTGACTTTCCATGAATGTTTTCAGATACGGTGCATTAAATAAGGAGTATAATAGACATTCACAAACCCTGGCAAGACGTAAGTTATTTTCAGTTATACGTGCCTCCAAAACATTCAGCCAAAATGAAAGAAAATTGTTTCATTTAAAACGCATGATGGTGATAGCCCTGGTTGCCCTGGTTTGATGTAACAAAAGCCATTGGGAGCAAGGACATTCCATAGAGCGACTTCTTTGCCGAGGAGAACCTATGTAGTAAAACAATTTGGTTACCTTACAGAGATTTTTTTCATCCCACTGACACTACTGTAATTAAATTGAAATTACATTAACATTTAACCTCGGCAAGCTATCTGTTAGGTGAAATTCGAAGCATGTGAAACCGTGTTGTGTGTTGAATGCTCGTCAATGTCCAAAGCAGTTGTCAATTTCGAAAAAAAAATAAACAATAAACCAAAGGATTAACAGACTACTTGTGGGTAGATCATCTGTTAAATTTTACTCATATGTCAATGAGTCAAATTGTGGACTTCTTTGATCACAACCACATGGCTGCAAAGCGTCCCCTTCCTAAATTCACAGAGACTGAATTATGGTGAGCTGTTTTCGATGGTGAGATGGGAATATTTGTTTTGGTTTCCCATTTTCAGGAACCACACTTTGAGCTCTGATAATTCATTTGTCGGAACCCAACATAATCATTTAATTCCTGTTTCGATGTGGCTGCACAGCTGGTACAAGTCACAATCACTTGAAATGAATTACACATTTTTTATTTAAAAATTTAAAAATTAATTTTTTGCCGTGGCAACGGAAGGAAATTTAACAAAAAAAGTTGTGGTAAATTCAGAGCCAAAATGTGTCAATCGCTGACTGGAAACGTGCTAAGTGGAACTGGCAACGCCTGGTTATGTGAGTAGAGATGCGTTGAGGAAACGGCTGTTCCCAAGAGCCTACGAGTAAACTTAACGGATGAATGCATTAAGTAGTTAGAACTTCCAGCAGCCAGAAAATCTTGCAGAATTTCAAGAATTCAGATTTCTAATAATTCTTGTTACTTTGCCTAAGGAATGCTTTCGTGGGCTCACCCGCAAGTGTCTTTTTCTGTTCAATTGTTCTGCCAATTTTTGCCTAGTCTGTCTGAGGTTATAAATTTCTGCTACCGAAAGGCACACACTTTGTAAAAGCTAGTAGGGTTTTTGGCAACGCTGTTAAACTTAATTGAAGAAAAGTCTGGTCTATTTTTAAACAGAGCTTTGCTTTCTTAGGAAGAATGTTGGAAACAGCTTGTTTTAGCTCTTGTGTCAACTTGAGCACTTCGTCTCTAATCTTTAAGTGATTTTGTTTAACTAAGCACGGGAAGGTTTCTTTCCTAATGAAGCAGACAAAATGGAGGACAGAAGCCTGTCATTATGTCAGAACAAAAGAACTTAAAAGTTTCATAAGGACTGCCTAAGTTTACCTCTGAGTTTTTTAAATCACGTGAAATGTTAACCAGAGTGATCAAGCACCAGGACGGAGATCTGGTGGAGCTACAGGTAAAAAATTTGTTTAAAAAGCCACAGAAAATAATAGTGAAGAGAGTGTGGATCTTTTCCTCCGAAATTACTTCAACTAAGAATCGTATTGTCGCAATATTAAAAGTTAGAGCGAACATAACAACCCCTAAGACGTTGATTTTAAATATCAAAGAACCCGCGCTTAGCTTGGAATATGCCACTGTCATGACAATGTTTGATTTACTTAGCATATTGATGAATTTTAATAAAATTCGTTAATTGTAAGCCCTACAATATCTGTCAATTTAGTCTATCGCATATTTTGTTAGTAACCTTTACCTTACTGGTAGAAACAATTGTAAGACACCTCATCCTGTTTAGACTAAATTAAATTTAAAAAAACGTGTGCTTTTGGTGAATTCAAAGCTCTCGCGCATCTTGAGCATTAAAACGAAGTTAAACGCATCTAAGCATAAAAATAAGGCCTTAAAATCGTTTAACTTTAATTGCTGCTGCACTAATAACTGTTTTTATATTTAGTGTTTTGGGTAAAATTACACTTTAAAATAATTCTGCTTTGAGTCTTGTCTTCGCTTTATGATTCCGACCTAATTACGTTGGTGTTCGGATGAAAGAGGTATTAAAATTGAATTTTTTTACAAATTAACAACTTTGTTTTGGAACTGGTTATTTTTAATTGATGCAAACTGGCTGGCTAGTTAAAAATGGAACAACGGCCTTTCCGCGTAATGAGTTATTCATAGAAGTTCTTTAGTTTGAAGCAAACACTTTCTAAACTTACTTTTAGATTTCTGCCTGCAGAAACAAGATAAAAAGTCAAATAACCAGAATAACTTAGGTTACATTAGTAAAATGTAAGATGAATGAAAACTGCCATAGAGTTCTTGTGGACAGTAATTCCTTACCCATGATACTCAAGTCTTTTCTTGTGCTTGATTTTGCCAGCACGGCCTTAAACAAGACTAGCAATAACTTATAACCTTAATGTTCCATTGGAATGTAATCTGTTGAATGAGTTTGAGGTCCCCTGTCATCTACAATTTGAAAGAAGCTAACAGAATAGCCCAAAGATTCCTCGTTATATTGAGATGTGACTTCGCATATTCAACCATAGTCTCGAATGTCCATTACGGCAAGTTCTGTTATTCTTCAGCGAGACTTTGAAGTTAGGCTCCCGCAATTTGATCAGTGGGCCAATCGCATGTGCGGTAAAAGTTAAAACAACCTCAATCTGGTAGAAGGCTTCTAAAAATTGCAGCGATTTGTGCGAATTCGCATCCATCACCTCCGTCCGTGCACGAGGTTTTCGTCGTTTTTGTGCAAACACGTCTGATTAAACTACCAGATAAACTTATGTGTCTCCCCGCGGCTTGCGCTACTTTTCACCCTTCAGAGTATCAAATTAGCTCACATTTACTTCCACAATCTCGCTAACCTTTTGGAAACTTTCTACAATTAGCGATCTCGTTTCGGTCACTCAGCGTAACACGGCTTTGCAGCATAATAGGAAATCATATACAAAAAGGATGGCATAGTGATCCGTGGAATCTTGTCTGTAATTTTGCCATCTTTGTTAGAATACTACAATGTCTGCTTTCGCTTGAGATTGGGAAAATGCTGGATTTTAGTAAAGGTAATGAATTCAAAGAACACAAAGGCCTGGATGGGGTAGTATTTGCGTCCCTGTGACTAAGTTTTAATCCGATAATAATAAGCTGGGCCCCCAGCGAATTTAGACATCATTGGAGCTGCATGTCATCGTTCGGCTCTGACGTCTAGTACCAAAATTTATTAAAAAAATTACTTCCATTCCTCAGTTATTCAGTCCACGGTCTTCCGTAGATTGTTGCGTGATATAAGCAAGCACAAATATGCGATAATCACAAATAATTTATTTGTCAAATGGATAGGACGGGAGGGGGATGGTACAGGAAGGAGTTTGAGTATAAACAAGGGTGCATCAGTGATTACAGACATCCTCGTAATCTTAAAATCCGGCAGTTTTTGGTTCTCTTGAAATCATCGAAAGCTCTGCTGGGTGTCTATAGGTCAAAGTCTTGTCCCCACGACTGTTTGAATCCCCACGCGACCTTCGCAATCGTCGACTCCTACCACAGCACACAAGCGCGTCCTTGAACTCGGCTCTAATGCGTCGAAAGACAATGTTGTAAAGAATGGGATTGCAGACGGAATTTGCAAACAGACAAATTCCCGAGATGTGGTAAAGAACGTCGTGAACCTTCCAGAGGATTTTGTTGTTATACCATGACTCAGCAGGCACAAGGACCACCAGCAGCCTCTCCGCGTGAAACGGCGCAAAGCAGGTGAAAAACGCGATGATAATGCACACTAGGAACAAAAAGGCAAATAGGATTGGAATGAACCTACCACTGTACTGCTTTTGATGGCATTTAGCACATGCTTAAACGGCACTATTTCCATTAGGCTGAAGTCTGGAATTTGGCGTTGATTAACTGCGTCTTTACCAGGTAATCGAAAGCACATAAGCTTGAAACTAGGAAGTGTTTCAACGGTGGGGTATTCGTGTCCCAGTCAAATCCCAAACTGTGCTGTTTAATTCGAGGTATGCGCTAACCTAGTATCCGGATCATGGATTTGTTTGTCCGTAACCGTGCCTGATTTTGCAGTTGACATAACTGCTGCCGTTGTCTGACCTCTTTTTTGTCTTGTGCCGTCCGAAAAATGACGCTACGACCTGATCTTAGGGGCAAGACGCACGGAGCCTCAGCAGGCGACGTCAGGCCATTCTCTAGACGGTGAGAATTCCGCATAATACCCGCCACTGGTTCGATCTGGCCTCTTGTCTGTAGAGTCTGAGTGAACTGGATTGACCGATGCACACCACGGAGAATGAGAATGTAGAGGATGGTGATGAGGATTAATGGGAAAAGAAAGAAGAGCAAGAAGCTCGCCAGGACTGGGTAGGAAAACCATTCTTCACCTTCGCCCTAAAAATTCGTAATTCGGCTTTTATTACTAGCATTACTCAAGACAGGACGTTGGTGTTTTTCCTTCAAACTAACCGGTTTTTAATCTAGTCGTCAATGTAACTTACATCTTACTAAAATTATCAAAAATTTTCCTAAAAACAATAGTTAACTGCTATCATTTCTGTTGTTTAGTGCATAATAAGCCAGAACTGAGGCAATGAAATTAATGTCACTAATATTGAAATATATTTACCTGGAATAGCTACACTACTAGGTCGAAGCGTCATGTACAAAATGAGTAGAAGGAATATTAAAAGAGCAGTCTATTTATTACCGATTAAAATTTTCAAATCAAGCAATCTAATGCAGGTCTTTTAAAATCTTCTTTATGCACTAGCAGGAGAAGTAATTTTAGGGTCGCCGTAACTCAGGTGACAAATTCTTCTGACATTACTGAATGTAAGTGGAATTGCAAAGTCCGTTAAAATGCCAACTTTTGAAAAATATTCTTTCTTCAGCACTAAGGTTGTTGAATAATTTCCCTTAAAAGGGACCAAGTTTAGTCACCCAATCAATCGACAATAAACAGCTGGCAGCCTCTGTGTTAACCTTTTAAATCTTTTTTAAAATTTGAAATTGGAAATGCTAGTGTTAACACGAACTTGTTTAAACTACAGAAGTTTTCTACTTGACTCAAGTCAGTGCGCCTGAATCGAAAAATTAAGTAGAGAATTTTAAGTACGAAGATGGGAACACAAGGCCACATCGAACATAAATTGAAGTTAAAAGGATTTTGACCAAAGATAAGGCAAAGAACTTGGGTTGGACTGTACTTTTTTGATGCCTCATTGTAAAGCCGATTTCATGACGAACATTTACAGCTGAAGAGAAGTTAGGATAAAAGTAGTCCCTACAAAAAGGCATCGGAATAACTATAGTGGTCAAATCAATTGTTACAAGATTCAGAGTGATTTTACCTAGTAATATAGGTTATTGTTTGATATTAGGTATCAAGAAAAAAGAAGTCACAAAACAGGGATTTTTCCAGAGGAAGGGCAAAATTTAACATATGAACTTCACAATTTAAAATGAACTTGAAAATGCATAAGCAAGCACTTTTAAAAGAATTAGTACAACACACTTCCTGCTGAAACCTACTTGATTAAATAATGACTGCTTCTTTTTCGTCATAATCGGGACAAATGTTCGTCACACGTTCCATTTAGGTATAGATTAACAAGTGCCAGTGTGTGCAACATTGATATACGCAGTCACTTGCTAAATTATCCAATTCAAAAACTTCAACATTAAAAATGCCCCTGAAAGGCTACACTTCAAAAGCTCATTCGAATTTTGTCAAAATCACTACCTGACTTTTCAAATGTTATCATTGAGTAAATCTATAACAGAAAGCGCTGTCACATGGCCCAGGTTTTCCGGGCCAACCCTTTACAAAATACCTTTGAAAAGGTAGTGAGGAATATCTTTGGTGTTGTTTTGCCAATATTTTTAGGTTAAATGAATATTTCTGACTTGGATACGTTGAAAAATCTGGGAACACTTCGGCGAATGCATCGAAAACAGGTGACACTGGAATATTTGGGTCGAGTAAATGAACCCAAGCATCCACGTTCCGGGAATTTTACTCGTATGCATACCGGAATTTAATTAGTTGTAAATAGTGGATTAGGTTTCCAAAGCCATTGCATGTTCAACTAGAAAACAATTTTAAAAATCTTTACTTTTGTGTGATGTTTAGACAAACCTGGTCATTTAACACTAAATGATAAACCCCACTCTCATTTCTGCATAAATTTGACGAGCCATCAACGATCTCCACCAAGTGTGATTTGATGAAAAGTAAGGCTTTATCAAGATGTGAAAGTAATTAGTGTCTGGAAAATATTTGAACCTGTTGATTATTTACGCTATATCACAGGTACAACTTAAACCGGTAGGTTGTAAATTTCATGCAGCCATATCTTTTTACAAGTTATTTCAGAATATTTGCTGCTTCGTTGCACACCACATAACCAAGATGTTTTTTTAAATCTATTAAACTACGGCAATGTCATAGTTTGTGAATTAAGTAAAGAGCAAATAGAAGCTGATTTGTTTGTTGTTTGTCGACGTTTATTTTACAGTGCCGTTTTTGATTTCCCTCCTTTTAATGCTGTTAACACAAAAAAACATGCAACAGACACGTCTTTTAACAATAAGTAATGACTGTAAGGTAATCACTTAAAGCTTTTTACGTTCAATTTGCCTGTCTTTACATAATTGCCCTATAAACCCTTGGCTTAAGTGTGAAATCAAACATTTTGCCATGAAAATAAATAAAACGGTAGCACGTAGGAGATTGTTGAAAATATACAGGGTTGCTAACGAGCAATGTGTTGTCTGTTCAATGCTAACACTTCAAATATTAAAAGAAATGTTGAATGAGTAGGAATTTATTTCCTAGGTAATGACGCAATGAACCACACACAAAGTTTCTCACAGGTCCGGAAATCGACACCACTTTCTGTGAATGTTAAGTCAATCAGACGTTAAAAAGAAACATTATATGATTCGAGAGAATTCAATTATAAGCATGTTGACTTCCTTCAAATTTTGTTTCCCGGTTTTTTCTGAATACGTAATCTGTTAGCTCTTTAAATTTGTATCACTTGTGGGTTTAACTGGTCTAAACACTCATAATGCATAGTGCTCATTGGTTACCTGCAATATTCTCATGGCTGTACATCTAACAGCAAACTTTAGCCATATAACAGGCAAATTATGCCAGTCCAAATCAATCACAAATTACTAGTGAAGTGTTTGGTAAATATTAATTGATGAACTCTTACCTACAAAAACGTAGATCATGTCGACTTTAACCAGGACTTTGGTCAGGACACTCCATAAAAGTGTACAACTATATGAACGAAATGGTTTACCAGAATTGCCCTTTGGAGCATCGTAGCCGAATTGAAGCCAGCACTCTTGATTAAAAATTAATTTTACACGAACTCTGCTACTTATGTAGAATTCTACTGCATTTTTCCAGCTACGAGTTGAACGCTTTCTTTTCTACAAATTTCGATACACGATTCGTTAAACTTTTTGTTCGAACTGTAAATAAACCTCTGTGCGCTAAATGAAAAATACAAAAACACAAACACAAGTCAAAAGTGCATATACGTAATTACCTTCAGGAAAATTAGCATCAGCATAAATCTGTAGGTGACGCCTACCATTACTACCTTCAGGTGCGCAGTTTGTATCGCAAAACTATAACTGGTCGACGTTTGCTTCCAACTGAATGGCTTAATGATGCATGGTACACATTATTCTGATACGGAGAAGAATAAGAAATTAGCATTCGCTTCTCAATTTTTGTACAAGCCAACTTTCCCTTACCAACTGCGCCACGTGAATAGCATGAATAATTACAAACAAGGCTGCACGAAGAACTGCATTTTTAATAACATCTGTGGTAGTCCTTCAAGTTTTGGTAAAAATACGGTGAAACTACTGCGGAGGGCTAACGTAAATCTTCTTCAACATAAATACTAGAGAAAGGTATTTAAATAACAAGCTTCTTTAGCAAAAAGTTATCCAAAATTTAAAAAAAAACTACACACAATACAAATAAAGTAAGTGATTATACCACCGGAGCTGTCTGATGACATTATTTCCTGTGTTGGGCACAAAATATTTGTTTTTGTCGAATAAAATCTTAAAAATAAATCAGATTAGGTAATTTTGACAAAACTAATCTAAATCAAAATATCACCGTCTGGTTTTTCGTTTGGCACTTACTAAAGCAGAATGGTATCCTTAAGCTTAAATCTTAACACTGAAATTGTATTGATGCAGCTTCATGTAGGCGTTTATCCCCTGCGTGCGGTTTTTCCTCTGTTACTTCAATGAAAGTAAATTACATCGCGGCCCGTAGCTTAAAACGGAATTTCTTATTTAGAAAAGGTGGAAATTTTAAACACCTAAACACTAATTGTTTTGAATAGTTCGACTCACTGAAGTCCCATTACCCATTATGCTTTTACAAATCTAATAATTTTGCGCCATGATATATTCGACCAAACCCAAGGGACTTGTCTCAACACTTCCGGTCTCTATGTCAAACCGAAATCTTTAGCATTCCGACTAGGTCGTGCGGCAGTTATTTACTTAAAATAACTATGCCACAGGAAATATAATACAGCCTTCTTTCGAAATACTCAAAAATTGAATTGTTTATATTGTGACTTGTTAAAAGTAAGACACTGGGAGTCCAAAGTAAGATCTTCGCAAGGTTCAGAGTTTGATTTAAGGAAAACGGGGGGGCAGAGTCCAAAACCATTTTCGATTGCCCAAAATGTAAGCTATTTAGGTCTCTGTAAATTGCTGACACATCTTCATTTGGGCTATATCAAGTCGCCTTATTTATAAAAATGTATTCACTTTAAGCTGCATTAAGCGCTTAAGCGCAAAAACCACCAAACACGATCAGAAATATCATTCTTTCACCTAAACTCTTTGAGAAACGGCTTCGCAAACTGCACAAATAATGTCAGTATCTGCCCTAGAGGGGTCAAATGATTGATACGAGCCTATTTTTCAATGACAACCGTCAAAACGGCTCTCAACTGAAGCCAATTCTTAACGGAATACTGTGAAGTTTAATGGGCCAAAATAGTAAAACACGCAAAAAAGCGATATTGTTTAGTCATTGCACTAGAATCTATATCTAAATGACAAAATATTCCGCAGCAAAAATGGCTGTTATGGGATTTTCGCCTACTGTTGGCTACAGAGGACTCAAGGAAGACTTTAGGGAAATTAAAACTTCAGATTTTCACAAAAAGTAATTGTAGATAAAAAGATTTCGAGGCAAGGAGGTTTGCCCTAAATTGTAAATAAGTTGTAGTGGAATTTATCTTTTGTGAAAAATTGATATCTGGCTAGAAGACCATCTCCTGCTGGCGTTGATGCTTTCTTAATAACAGCGCTGTCTTGTATCGTGCAACCATCGAAAGTGCAACGAAGATGGTCATTCATGTGCTCTGCAATATTCACGCAAACACCACAATTCCAAAAAAACACCTTTTTTGCAGGTTGTATGCTTGTAACTTTTTGCAAAGACATTTACGTTAATGCATCCATTAGTTTTTCTAAGAAACGATCTAGTTTTGAGATCCCCTGCATTATCAAACTGGTGGAACGTGAAGGTTACATATAACTAGCTCGTAGCAAGAGTAAATCTGCAAATTATGCTAGTAAACTCTCGATGTAATTCTACTTTCTGGAAAAAAAGTGGAAGACAATAGTTCTGATTAAATTTTGAAAGCTTGCGGATAGCCGATTGGGAGTTTTTTTGAAGAAACGCATTTCGAAATTGGTGCGATTCTTTCTGCGCATTTGTTAAGTTTCAAATACGTAACATGCTAATGTAATTACTGCAATCTTACTTTGGCGCTTACTTAGTTAAGAGAAAGGGTTTTGGTTATTCTGCAAATTTAACCGACATATTTAAGTTACCTGGTGGGGAAAAAATATTGACACGTGCCAATAAAGATTTGGGGCTTTTTCCTGAGTTGTCTAAAATGGCAACACTACCAGCTCCGTCGATGTCTTTTACGTGGTATTATTTGGTGACAGACTGCAGAACCTAGATAGAAACAGACATACCGAAACCGTGCAGATGGATGACTCAGTTATTATCACTGGTTGAAAGTTCGTGGCCGAATCGTTCCGGGAGATGTAACTCAAGGCGACCTGCAGGGTGATTGGCAGGCTGAAGAGCGGGGACAATATCCACACGATGATTAAGGTAATACGAACTTTCGTAAACCTTCCCCAATCCCGACAACACATAAACAAACCTGCTTGTTTAAATCCACCACCACTTTCTGAGCAAGTTCTTCTTTTGGAGCCATAGATGGCAGTAGACAGGGGGTAAATTATGGCAATGTACCGTTCAACGGTTAGGGCAGTTATGGTAAGCACGGATGAGATCATGCTGGCTTCTGCGAGGAATGCGCGTAGTCGACAAGTGGCCTCCTCAAACGGATATGGATACCTGTTCCACATCATATACAGGTCGTGAGGAAGACCAAGTACAAGTATGAGTAAATCTGAGATGCTGAGATTTACAAGGTAGTAATTAATGGGTGTGTGGAAGGAGCGATTGACGAGAATAACCCAGAGGAGGATGACATTTCCAAAGAAACCAAAAGTAAATATGGTAATGTAAATAACACTTATTGGAACTAAAAGTTCCAGTTCAGTCCGACGAAGACCGCGTATGGGAATTAGGTACTCCCAGACGTCTGGCATTTCTGTCTGGTTTATGGAGGGGGAAACAGGGACAGTCGTGGAGACATTCAAGTAAGGTCGGACGTCCATCCTCCGGGTTAGTAAAAATTGCCGTTCAGATAGCCGGGTCGCGGGAATTTCACGAGTATTCGCGTTGACCAATTGGCGTGGGATGAGTGGCGACCAATTGGGAAATAGTGGGATTGACCCTATGTAAAAGGGGAATATAATGTGAAGATTGGTAACACTGAATAAGCGAGATAAATTGGCAATTTAGAACAATATTTGAGAGGATCTTTTAAATTGTTAGAAAATGCTGAGTTTGTCATGGTTTGCCTTAAATTAACACAGAGAAGTCATCCAGTAATTTAGGGCAATATGCAATTTTTCCACTAAACAAGCATTACGTCACTGTCAAAAGCCATATCCTACTCGGTAAACTCGCATTTTTGCTACAAAATATGTTTATTGTACGTGTAGTCAGTGACTTAATGTTAGTGATCGCTTCTGTCGTTTAGAGTGGTGGTGCATGTTGATTTCGTATTTGTTTTTCATAACATGTTGATGCATCTGAATTCATGCTGAAGTTACAAACAAAATCTGCAAATTGAATTAACGTCCACAAAATATGAGGCAAAACGGTAAACTCCAAATGGAGCCTTGCGTAAATAGCGGTGGGCTTAACAAGTAACATACCCCAAGCACCAATAACTGTGGTTTGACGAGTGACGTCTCATCGCCGTTAACCGATCAATTCGTTCCGCCACGCAGCACACTGTTTATGTTATACATGACAATTAAACGCTTGTGGTATTTACTGTGCATTTAACAAGGTGGCAGTGGTCTCGTGTTGCGCCATGATATCAGTTACGTGGATCAAAAAGAACTGTGTGCAGTTCTTTGACTAAATTAGCCAGTAAATGGATTTAATCGCTCACTGTGGTACACGGGTGGTGATGAAAATAAAGCAGCGAATGCCATACAAAATCACTTGACACTTAATAATTCAGCTACCATTGGTTGACCTATTCATCAAAATTGCCCTAAAAGTTATAAGAGGTGTAAAAAGGCCGTCGGAGCAATTACAATTTTCTGTAAATTTATTTAATCGTGAAATGAGTTTTGCTGATTGACCAGCATAACTTCAACAAGCCCACAGTTTACCGTCATCGATTTAAACGTTCAGATTGTGTTCCTTAAAAACACACGCCGGAAACATAAGATTTGCTAAGAAAAAAGGTTGCTCTCAACCAGGAAAACGCGTGCACTTGGCAAGTGCGTAAAATACTATAGGGCAGCGATTGGCCATAACCGTTGAGAATAGCCACATGCATTTGCTAAATCGAGATAATTTATCAGAAAATTTTTCACTTATTTTGAAATATGCTTCTGCCCCTTTAAGTCCCGATGACTTTTAAAACAAGGTGCCCAGCAGTCATCTTACTGCCTTAAGTCATTTATTTAATTTTTAAACCTGAATGAAAATAAAACTTTGTAGATGCTACAGTTAATGCATGACTGCATTAATACACCTGGCCTTGAGCACCAAGGCTAAAAAGTTGATTATGCAGAATTTACCACATTTTTTTGGTTAGGTTTCTGCATTAACGTTCAGCTCATATCCTATCAGTCACATTTAAGAGAAGATTTTGTCACAAGATTTGGGTATCTGAATCTTTGATAACATAGTGAAAACTAATGCAGTTATTGGGATGACAGCTAATAAAGGGTGTGTGTAAGTGTAAAGGATTTACAAGGCATCAATAGGAGAACAGAAATTAGGTTCAAATTAGAGTTCATAAAGGTCAAAAACGTTTGTTCTGATTCGGCATTACACTAATGGCTCAGAGCTACATAATAAATAGGACTTGTTGGACTTTCTTGAGTGTATTTAGTAGGTACGTTGATATTGCCTTCTTTTTAAGTCATTTTCGGGCAAAAAAAATTGTTAAAAGGATTTTAATGTTGAAAATCGAGTGATATGCGAATTATTCTTAAAAGTATAACCGTGGCGCTAGTTTAAATCCGTTAATGCATATGTGCTGGAATGAATTGCCAAACCAAATTCATAAAAGGGTTTGAGATGACCTCCTTTGATTGTTGTTTGCATCATAATTTAAGTACAACCGCAATATTACAGGAAGGCTTTAATCTCCAAGACAGCCGGCGTAAACTACTATCTAGAGAAAATATGTCGCATTCATTAACATTTACTTATATATCCAAAAATCAGCAAAATGCAGATGCTGATTTGAGTTTGTTGTAAAATCGAGATTATTCACACGCCTTAATCCGGTCGCTCCACCATCCCCTTTTCGCAGCATGTCGCCAGCCGCGCGTACCCTCAACTCCCCCCTCATTCGCACGGATATTTATCTTGGAGCATCCCCACACCTAGGTCTCTATGTTAGCGCATCTGTGACTCACACCTCTGAGGTATAAATAAACACGCTCAAACCCCACACTCGACATAACGACACTAGTTTTGGTTGAGCTCTGAAGTAACCGGTTGTGTCCCCGTCCTCTCCGGTATTTTTCTGCATCGTGGGTACCAGGGAAGCGCAATCGGGCCTGAATTAATTCAGAGGCCCTGGCGTGGATCAAGACCATATGCTGGGGCCCACAACAAGTTAAATGCTAACAAATTAGTAAGTTACACGGAAAAAGTGTCAATTTTAGACCCTTGCCAAAAGGCTGAAAACAGATTACTGTAATACTTAGGATAGATTAAAAAGTTAATATCATTTTATTGCCCCATTTTGTAGGCCGAAAAGTAAACAACGGACCAGCACTTTGGTTACAGCACCAAAGCTAAAACGTAATATTTCATCTAACAGGAAAATTGAACTGGGATCTCAACGGGGAAAGTTAATTATACAGTTTCGGTGTTGTTTAATTTGAATCAAAAATTTGAAATTAAAACAAACGAACTGTCAAAAAATATGAAAAATGGCTACAGGACACAGAAATTTTTAGTAAATGCAGAAATACTCTTTCAATCTGCGGATTTTTGGCTAATAAATAATTTATTTTCATGGTACTATCTCAAGGCAGACGATGCTCACTGGCTTCCCTGGAAAAGCAAAAACTCGTGTTGAAATTACGAAAGAATCTAGCGGGTTTCCGTTGGTGGCTGTGCTGATGTATTCGTTCTCAATTGTCTACGTGACTCAACCTATAAGTTCACGTCGGTTATTTACGTAGAGTCTTGTTGATTTTCAAGCAAAGACTTTGTCTCTTGCGCTTTGGTTGTCGCATTACCGAAAGCCCAGTTTTCACATCGTTGTTTCACAACCTCAACCACAGCTGACTAGGCTGACAGTTCGGGCTACATGCTTTGCATTTTCCCTCAAACCACCAAGTAACTGCACAGCAGATCAAAACACCGATAGGTTTGATGAATAACAGGGGATTACTGGTGCCGCATCTTTCTAAGTAGGCATGTCGCCTAAAAAACAAGCGTCAAGCCCTTAGTTATTTCATGACGCACCCATGAAAATGCTATGTTGGACATTATCATAGGTAGCACTGCATGCCAAAGTCCATTCCAAAATGTTTCGACGTTTGCTTTTAACAAGTTTACCCCAGTTCACTTAGGTTTCAAATTTATTTTCGCATTTTCCGTCATAAACAAAAATCAATGAAAAAATCAGGTGATAAAAAGTTCTTACACAACAAGAAATTTGCTAGTTCAGCTTAGTTTTTTTTTAAATACAGATTTTCCCTTGAGTTTGAGGTTATCAAGCGAATTATTCAGTTTAAAGTTTGGCAGGTCAGAACGAAGAAGGCTGTTTGAAATCTGATTTGTTTCTTTAAATGACGACTAGGGCTTTCTTACTAAAGATAAATTAAAAAGAAGATTTCAAAACCTGTTAAAACGCAAACCATTGTTTCCTATACACTAGCGCTACAAAGTAGATCATGTTTCTATCGAATACACTGCATAATCAAACGGTACTTAAGGCATCGAAGCACTTTAATCGGGCATGGGAACTGAACTGTAGGGTTTTGAAATTGATGAAGCAAAAATCATTCCATAAATACGAGTGATTTTTTCCTTGGATCTGTGTGTGAGGGTCAGCATGACGACGACTACAGCACTACTTATTTCAGTGCTATTAAAGTCGTAGAAGTGCCTCAGAGCTCGATCGAACACCTTAACAAAGCATTCTATAGTTCAATTCAGACGGTTATTGGCATAAGCTTTGCAGCATTTCAGCAGGATTAATAGGAAAAGTCGTAAACGGTGGCAAGGAACGTTCACCAGAACAATGTCATAATGTTGTGTGCAAAATTATTCCATTCGAGGGGAACAGGACTATTGACCTTAATATGTCCTCCTCGTTGCTGTCAAACCATAATTCAAATGCACAAATCACCATAAAAATGGCAAACGTCCAATCACTGGTGCGACAACTGCACGCCTTTGCATGTATTCGTGTGGGTTGTGAGGTGTACCACAACAAGTTCAAATGAGGTACCGTTTTACAATTGCTTTATTAGTCAACGGAAAAAGCGTGTGCTTGCAACGTACCTACGCACAAATCCCACAATAAGAGCTAATCTATGATTGGTAAGACCGTAAAATCTAGGAGTAGAGTTGGTGCAATGCAAATCTACGTCACCTTTATTTATTCTTTACAACTATTACTTCGATACGCATATTACGTATTTTTAGCCTTTGGATAAGCTCATTCTAGAACTAGTTTTCGTGTTAGGTGATAAGTTGTTAATATAAACTACAATCGATTTCTGCTTCCAGGCAACGTAACGTCAGTAAATTGTTGTTTTGTTTATAAATTTTTGAACCAGTTACTGGTATTACTGCTCATACATATCTTGTTCGAATCGGTAGTAAATAGTGGACAAAATGCCAACTTTTTACACGTTTTTTTAAACTGTTCATTATCGCCTATAAATGAAAGTTCAGCTGCACCTCGATAAGGAAAAACACTGTGGAAGATGGGGCTAACTTCATTTTCATTCATTCACTCTAATTTTGTGAAATTTCTGTTGGTGTGTGCAATTACAGTTGCTGCCACAAAATTGTACATTTAACTTCACTTATTCCAAGTATTTAACAAGTCAAACTGACAACTGCAATCGTCATTAATGGATTAGGGGTAGGGCCTTGTGTGATTATAATTTTACGTTGCTATTTAACTTATCTGTTCGGTAAATTGGTAAATACTCTTCCTAACAGTTTTGC